GCTATCCATAAAGTAGCTTGGAGCCGGGAGTAGGGGCCTCATGCCAGCAAGGTAAAGAAAGATTGCCCAAGGAGGGGTCAGAAGATTTCCCTAAGGATGAAAGGAACAGTTTACCACCAGTTGCCTGCCCTTGATGGCAGATTGAGGAAGCTACCGGTTTTCCAAGGTTATAAAGCATTTAATTCATTTGTTTGAAGATTTAAGCCCAAATAAAGAACTTTGTTGAACTTATTTTGGGCCTCAATAGAACTTTGTGTTGGGAAATCTAAGGGGCCCTTCAGTTGAGGCACCCCGGCGTCCCGTTGGGCATACAGAAGGCACGTCCTGTAAACAGACATTATTTCAGGCTCAGCATGCGACAGCACATGGGTCCTTGCAAGTATCGTAGGACGCATGTAGAACACTTGCAAGTATCGTAGGACGCATGTAGAATCATGTCATGGGTGGCATGGAGCTCCATAGATGAACACTTCATCTATGGAGCTCCATGCCACCCATGACATGATGGACACTCACTTCCAGCAAGGTTCCGTAGATCAACTGTGGTGCAAGTGTCCTACAACATGTGATGGGGAAGTGTCACTGCAAGCAAAGCGGGGTGTGGGGCAACAGGATTGCGCCACTGCCCTGTGGATTCACCACAGAGGTTGGCAAATCCCCCCACTCCCTCCCAATGTGATGAGGTCCCAAGGTGTTGTCATTCTCCAACTGTGGAAAGTCTTGTTATTGACACTAATAGTGATCTCATTTCAGTGTGAAGTTAAAATATCCCTATTCTATCAGGCCTTTAAAACTCAGTGATCATAGTTACATTCAGCTGTAGATTTCTATTTTCTGTTTTATCCTATTGACGTTTTTATAAATTGCTCTTTTCTTTAAAAAAAATTATGTTTCAATTCTTAGATCTCTAAATAGAAGGAAGAAACATAAATACATTTATAAATAAATAAAATAAAACTGTGCCTAGTACTGATGGGATGCCAAGTTATTTTGGCAGTCAAGGCTGAAGATCTCAATTTCCCTAGGAGTGAAAATGCAACAATAATACATTCAATAAGCAACAACTTGCTGTGCTTTTATGATGCACAAAACCAATTGCCTGAGGCACCAGTTACTTCCTTTTGTCTAATGCTGGATCTGTCTTCCACTGGAACTACTTTAGCCAATGCACAATTTAGTTATAGCACTGTCTCAAACAGGCCCATGTTTACATCCAGAACTAAGTGATTCGATTCTAGTAAAAGGTTTCTGGTGTTAAGGCATGCCATAATTTGGAAAAAAGAGTAAAATATTAGACTGCTTCTTTAGTAGAGTGGAAGCATATATGCAAAAGCTGATATATACAGACCAGGAGTTAAGATAGGAGTAATAGTGGAAGAGGCAACAGAGTTTGTAAGATCTGAGCAGACCTGAGCAGGGCTACTGATGGGAAGATGACTTAGACCAGCGGTTCTCAACCTGTGGGTCCCCAGGTGTTTTGGCCTACAACTCCCAGAAATCCCAGCCAGTTTACCAGTTGTTAAGATTTCAGGGGACCCATAGGTTGAGAACCACTGACTTAGACAGACAGATGGACAAACAGATGTCAAATCTGAAGAACTGGTTAGACGTTTGAAGAACTGATTAACCATGTCATCACACTGGAGCAGTGGTTCCCAATCTTTGGTCCGCCAGCTGTTTTGGACTTCAGCTCCCACAATTCCTAACAGCTGGTGAGATGGCTGGGATTTCTGGGAGTGGAAGTCCAAAACACCTAAAGTTGGGAACAACAGCATCTAGTTTCTGCCAATTGCAGGATTCTGGGCTAGTGGTTTTGAGAAGGGTGTTTAAACTGCTCAGCCAGATAGGCCCTGGACCTAACTAAACTGCAAACCCCAAAATTCTGCAGGAGGAAGAAACTTCAATTTCTAAATGAGTTAATATATTTTATGGAAAGATGGGTGCTACCATCTGTCACTGCTTTTAAATGATTACAATTTCATCATGTGTAGTTGTCTTCTTGCCCTTTCTTCCATAATGAAATAGAACACGATTGTCCTGCTTCTTGGGAGGGCCCACGAGGTCTCTTCCAACACTATGATTCTATGATTTAATATGGATCAATTCTCTAGTGGGGTGAAGCTTCAGAATAGATTTTTTGTACTATATATTTTCTAAGTAAAATACCAACCATAAATGCTTCCATAGGCAAAACCAATTTTTGAATCCAAATGTCCTATCCCTTTATCCTAAATTCAGTGTTGTTCTGGCTGCTGCAATTGATTTATTTTCAATTTACTTTCCATACCACCTGAAAATCTGACTGGGGGGGGGGGGATTTTCAAGTCTTACAAAGCTTAGGTTTGGGGTGTGTGTGTGTGTGTGTGTGTGTGTGTGTGTGTGTGTAGAGGACCAAAATGATATGAGAAGATTTCCTGTTTGTTATCCTGGATTCCCTGTTCCATCATCAGTTGAATTCTAGACATCATTTTTACATCAATTAAATATCATTTCTGTGAATGTTGCTAATAAAATATCTGCTAAACAAATACATTCTGCTAACAGAATATTACATTTCTATGTCTGCAGTATTATGTTTTTGAAGTACTTATGGCGTAAGCCTAAGGCTACAATCCTATGCAAAGTCCTAAATTTGGCTGTTGGCCAATTCGGAGAGGACTCTGACAGACTCTGACTGATAAAGGATTTTATCAAAACTTCAGGAAAAAGAGACAGTTCTCAATGGGACTAGGAATCTCTCTCCTACATATGGAACACTTTTAATAGATGGGAGAAAGATGGGAAATCACATGAGTGGATCGTGTTTTAGAGTTTCATTGAAGGGAGAACTGACATATAACAGTTTCCATATAAACTGATTCCACATTACTGATTTTGCCACCTGCTATAGTAATATCTATATGCTTTCATTATCACTAGTTCAACACAGATAATTCAAAATCAGCATACATTTCCAGTGTGTTCTCATCCAAACATAGCTAAACCCTTGACACAGAACTCAATGTTACCTGAACAAGTGTTTAACATTAGTTCTTTAATCAATTTCCCACAGTTCAGATGAAAACCTTTCAGAGCAACTTGCTTAACAATGGATATGAAGTCTATCAAAATATGTTAAAATTATTTTAAAGCAAATATTCTGAAGTATATAGTGCATGTATAAAACTCGGTTAAAAAGTATTTCCATTCTCAATACATTGACATAAATCCAAATTCCTTATAATGAAATTGTCAACAATATAACACAAACTCTTTAGTTCATTTGCTAGTAGTCATTGCCATTACTTCAGAGGACCATTAGCTACTTTTTGCTCTGATGTGAGTTAAGCTCTCCTCTAAAAATATCCTCCAAGTGCTTACTTAATGCCTGATGTTACACTGAAATAGCAAGGGAAACCTCAGACTTCCGCACTTGGGATCACTGAACACCAGGTGCATTGTGTGGGAAGATACACTTTATTTGTAGGAAGCAAAATGTTTCAGACCACACTGCCTTACACCACACTCAAGAACTGATCAATAAAGTAAGTCCTTGTAAGTACACTGAAGTAAGTACACTGAAGATAAAGTAAGTACACTGAAGATGAAAAAGATGTATATCCAAAAGGGAAATTGAATTTTGGAACAATGTCTCTTATTTGCATATGGAAATATTACCAGATCTGTAAAGTTTTTTTGTAGAGATTAGAAGTGGTGAGGGAAAGTATTTTTTGTTGCACTAACAGTAGTCAGAAATGCAAACTACTTCTTTGTCACTCTATTTATATGGACATTTATAAAACATTATCTAGTCCAAGAATAAACTCATGCATATAATGACATGTTTATATTATACAGCACAACGTTTTCTAATGAAAGCATGCAAAATCTTCCCATGACTCCAAACAGCACTGAAAGCAATTATTCCTTAACTAAACTTTTTATAAACTCTACACTCATAGTACCTTTGCTGTCTCATCAAGTCAGGTCCCCAATGTCACTCAAAAGCAATTACAATAGTCTAAAGTTTGCTTAAGAGTTATTCATACCAGAGAGTATAATTCACTCATTTAACAACTATGATATCTAAATTTGAAAATTTGTAACAGTGTAGAACTAGAAAGCGTATGCTACCCAGGCTGATGGGACTTGCAGGTCAATTGGTTCTCTATTTTTGGGGGATTAGGGGTGATATTTTCTTACCCAAAAGAGCATCTCTCCATGAATCTTTAGGTCATTGAGCATGACTCTATGGTCAACATTTGGTGGAAGGTGCGTCATGCTGGAGGGCCTAAAGATTTCTCAAGAGTACATATGAAACAATTTTTTGAATAACAAAATCCATAAAAGTTTAATCCCCAAACTTGGGATCAACTGTACCTGCAAGGCCACATGTTTACCACCCTTCCCTAGTCCTAGACAGCTCAACTGAAGGACCATAGGGCTGGGTAATTTAGCAGTCCCTAGTTCCATTCTATGTGTGGCTGGAGGATTTGTGAAACAACCACAACACAGTGGCAAAGCTTATGCTTTGCATACACTGTAGCCCAGATCAGTCCTCTATTTCATCTTTAGAAATAATCTTCAACAGAGAAGGGCAGTGGGTTAAGGGGAAGATATTTCTAAATTTAACTTTTTTTTCTTCACTGCAGGGGAGAATAGAGCAAAGAATTTACAAAAGTATTGTCGAAGGCTTTCATGGCTGGAATCACTGGGTTGTTGTAGGTTTTTCAGGCTATATGGCCATGTTCTAGAAGCATTCTCTCCTGATGTTTCACTGCATCTATGGCAAGCGTCCTCAGAGACTGTGACCTCACAACCTCTGTGGATGCTTGCCATAGATGCAGACAAAACATCAGGAGAGAATGCTTCTAGAACATGGCCATATAGCCCTAAAAACCTACAACAATCCAATTTACAAAAGAATACTTTCCTTTTTTTCCCTTTCCCATTTGTCCTTCTCCACCTGACCCACCTTCTACTGAGATGTATAAAACATGAGCCATTGTGTGGCCACTTACCTGATTACATGTATTGATATCGATTCCTCCCTTTAGAAATTCCACTACTTTGTCCACATTGCCAGCCCTGGCAGCTCTGAGGAAGCTTGCATTGCTGTCAGACTGTTAAAAATATAAATAAAAAATAAATGAGTATTAATTTCTGCATTAAAAATAAGCAAATCAAATATGAACAAGGAAGAGCATGCACATATATGCTACTGAAGTTTCAAATAATTTCCTATTGACGTAGGTATTCCTCATTTAAAAGTAAGTTATTATTTCTAGATTATTATTTTCATATAACAGGCTTAACAGAACCTTATGTAAAACCCACACATATTTCATTGAATGAGGAGGACTGTTCACATATTCACCTATCCAATATCCACAAAGCAAGATCATAATGCTTATGCTTATTTCGTAGCGGAACAGGATACAAAATGAGTTTACTAATTGGTTACATGCACAATGTACTAAGTTTCTTCTTGGTCAGCACATTCCATGTTCAACTAAACCAAGTAAGACATTTTGCAGTATTTTTTTACAGACAAGATGGATGAATCCTTCAGTTTCTCTGAAGTGTTCTGTATTTTTTTTAAAAAATCTTTTTTTTAGAAAAAAAAACCCAGAAAGTTTACAAATAGAGTTGAGGATGTGAAAATATGGAAGGATATTTTGGTTTGCACTTTGGTTCAGAGAATAGGCTTAGCAACTGTGTCCAATATTGTTACATCTCACTATCCTATCTCCAGAGCTTTGTACCTTTGCCAAATGAAGTGAACAAGCTACTCATACAGATTCAACCCTGCCTAATACATGGGGGTCTGGAGGAAAAAAAAAATACCCGTCCAGTATGGCAATGCTACCACAAAACAGTCAACCATATCTACATATTTAATGTTTGTATCTGGGCAAATTCTTGTCAGATATAATAGTGCTCTGTGGCTTTGAAATGCCAAAAAAAGTTATATGTAACAAAGTGAGAAAGGATGCACAACTCCAAAATATAAAATTTAATAAAAGACTAAAAAATCTAAAACGTAAACAGGATTGAAAAGACACAAAATTATTATTACTATATTTAATCACAACTTTTATACATTTTTCAAAACTTCTGATTATGATCATGTAGACATGCAGTTGCAAAAAGGTTGTTTTTAATGAGTAAATTTAATTAATGTGTTATGCTTTTATGGTGGTTTTATGGTAGTTGTTAGTGTGTGCCTTCTGATTTATGGGAATCCTAATGCAAACCCATCACAGGTTTTATGATCAAGACTTGTTTAGATAAGGGTTGCCACCATTCCTCTGAGATGGATAGAGTCTGACTTGTCTAAGGTCAATCAAGAGGTTTCCATGGCTGAGCAGATTCGAATCCTAGTTTCCAGAGTCAGTCCAGTGCTCAAATTACTGTCACCATGCTGACTCTCAGCTGTGCCTCAGGAATTGTCAAATGTGGCCCTCAGCTCCTCCAGATTCTACTTTTTCTGGCTATGAAAATGAATTAAACTCTCAGAAGCCTCCAAAAGAGGCAATTCACATTTTAAATATTATAATGTCTTAAATATTGCTATTTCCAGATACAGTATATATTTTTTCAATTGTGGAAGTATGTATGTCCCATAAGAGTGTCACGGGGCTGGAAATTGCCCCCAGACCCACCCACAACAGTCTCCCATTCTGAGAAAAAAAATGCTTTCTGGGATCTTTGGTTGTCTCCACATTATACATCCAAGCTGCTTAAGACAGAAATCACACACATCCATTTCCAGAAGAGTTTTATCCTCATTGTGAGCTTTTGGGGCGGGTCTGACTGACAGATTATGACTTGTCCAATGTCACCCAGTGATCTTCATGACTGGGAATTTTAAACCTGAACCTTCCCTGTCCTCAACTAATCCTCTAGCCAGTTAACATAATTAGCTTTCTCTCTATATTTATTTGTTTATGGTTTTCCATATCTGCTTTGAAGCATGGTGACTAGGCAGCTGTGATCTAGCTGTCTGAGTATGGGAAGACAAGAGCCATCCTACGGTTCTGACAAACAGTAAAGTTCTGTTCAGGAAGCTAAAGGTCAATTCAAAAAGGAGAAGAAACCTCTCATAGTTTGTTAAAAGGGATTGTGTTCCTTTGATACGAAAGGACAAAGAAGCAGGGGCCTAAGGAGGCATGGGAATGCAACACAAGCAGTTGAGGAGAATGGAAGAGCTGAATCATGGGAGTCAAAAGTGACAGTAAGAAGAAGAAGAAGACCAAAGCATACAGTAAGCTGTGGTATTTTTACCTAAGGGAGTGATAGGTAGGGAAAACAGAAGCATAATTGGAGCCAACAGCTGAAGGTAAGATTAACCAATGAGAAAGGACACCAGGTTGTAGTGAGAATAAGATGAAGAAGATGAGGAGAGCCAAATACACAGACCAGAACTTACTGGAGAAAAAGCAGGATACATATACAGTAAATGTAGCTAATATATACATGATAAATGAATAGATGATTATGCTATTACATAGCCCTCAACTGTCACAGAGCAGCCGGGGAATTCATGCCTAATAATTTGCCCTTCCATTTTCACCTTCTCTTAAAAAGTCCTGGATTTAGATTCTCCCTTCCTATGCTTTCCTCTCCCAAAGAGCTGTCTCCAAGGACTTCAAAGCTAGCTTCACAGTAAACAATTACGTTCATTTCACGCAGTTGCTTCCCTGTTCACCCCCACCCATGAGGAGAATAGCAGTAGTCATTGTGATGAGCCTGTGTGACTCCAATTGCTTTTTTCAGTTAAGTGGAATTGATAAACCCAACTACCTACTGAGAGGGACTTTATCCCCTTTGAATTACAATACCCCCAGAAGAGACAGTCTCACACAGAGGCACTTTGATTTCCCCCTTTATGTATTTTGGATTCCCCCTCCATCTCTAATTTCCGTAAAAGAAAATCAATATTGGAGAGAAGCAATCTTTTTAATCATGATGTGTGTGTGTGTGTGTTTATACATACACACAGAGAGAGATACATACACACACAGAAAAGTATGCATGTGCACTTACAGAGTACTCTTTTTATTGATGTGGGCTTTAAATATTTTTATGCTTTTCTAAACACAGTACATAATTTTCAAGGTTTCTCTGCTTAAAATAGTAGTCCTGTGTGTTTTACTTGGGATCCTTTATTGTTTGATTATATTCTGATGTTGCTCAGATACAAATGCCCCATATTTCAGCTATGATATAATGGGAGGAAAGGGGCAGAGCAGTGGTTCTCAATTTTTCTAATGCCACGACCCCTTAATACAGTTCCTCAGGTTCTGGTGACTCCCAACCATAAAATTATTTTTGTTGCTACTTCATAACTGTAATTTTGCTACTGTTGTGAATCATAATATAAATATCTGATAGGCAGGATGTATTTTCATTCACTGGACCAAATTTGGCACAAATACCCAACATGCCCAAATTTTAATACTGATAGGGTTGGGGGGGGGGTTGATTTTGTCATTTGGGAGTTGTAGTTGCTGGGATTTATAGTTCACCTACAAACAAAGAGTATTTTGAACCCCACCAGCGACAGAATTGAGCCAAACTTTCCACACAGAACACCTATGACCAGCACAAAATACTGAAAAGGATTTTGGATGAATTGACAGTGACTTAAGGGAGATGTAGTTACATCTGGAAAGCACTGTAAACCCAAAAAGGTTCCTAAGACCATCAGAAATATGTGTTTTCTGAGGGTCATTGGCGACCCCTCTGAAACCCCCTTACGACCCTATCAGGGGTCCAGAACCCCAGGTTGAGAAACACTAGAAACACTAGAAAGACATATAGAAGCAAAGACATAGAAACAGCAGAACCCAAGAAAGAAACAACAAATTTAAAGCATGGCTGGTTGTCATTATTGGTTAGATCTTTGTCATTATATAAGCATGAGAGAGTCAGAGGAAGGGGGTATAGCTTCTCCTTCTCCATGTTCTCCTCCTGCATGAGGAAGAGCATACTAGCCCCATTGCCATTGTCACTGACTCCTAGGTAGTGATTATGATGGCCGTGTAAATTGCTTATTTTCTGGAAGTTATATGTGCATTTGAACTCCAGAGGGAACTTGCAGGGTGTTCCCTTTATGCTGTAGCAGGCCGACACTTTGCTTTTTGGCTCAGATGGCGGGAAAGTTTGGTCTGTTCTTTAATATGAAGATTGGTTCACAAGCTACCATGAACTGATGACTTAATCAGTATACAACATACATGACACACCTAACATAATTTGCCAGAATATAATAGACTAAACATCAAAAAAACCAAGATTATGGCAACAAGAATGATTGACAACTGGAAAATAGAGGGAGAAAATGTGGAGGCCGTGACAGACTTTGTATTTCTAGGTGCAAAGATTACTGCAGATGCAGACTGTGGACAGGAAATCAGAAGACGCTTACTTCTTGGGAGGAGAGCAATGTCCAATCTCGATAAAATAGTAAAGAGTAGAGACATCAGACTGGCAACAAAGATCCGCCTAGTCAAAGCCATGGTATTCCCTTAGTAACCTACGGATGTGAGAGCTGGACCTTAGGGAAGGCTGAGCGAAGGAAGATAGGCGCTTTTGAACTGTGGTGTTGGAGGAAAGTTCTGAGAGTGCCTTGGACTGCGAGAAGATCCAACCAGTCCATCCTCCAGGAAATAAAGCCCGACTGCTCATTGGAGGGAAAGATACTAGACAAAGTTGAAGTACTTTGGCCACATCATGAGGAGACAGCAAAGCCTAGAGAAGACAATTATGCTGGGGAAAGTGGAAGGCAAAAGGAAGAGGGGCCGACCAAGGGCAAGATGGATGGATGGCATCCTTGAAGTGACTGGACTGACCTTGAAGGAGCTGGGGGTGGTGACGGCCGACAGGGAGCTCTGGCGTGGGCTGGTCCATGAGGTCACGAAGAGTCGGAGACGACTGAACGAATGAACAACAAATAATAGACTGAGAAAAAATATTAGCATCCAAACCGAGGGATATTTGAAGCTAGGCTTCAAAGTTAAGGAAGGTTTTGGTATATTTTTGGAATCTCTGCTTGACAGAAAGAAAATTAGTCTGATACTTAGCAGGAATCCAGTAAGATACATAGCCACCCTTAAAA